TGGTGTTTGGGTGGACTATTCAGTAGATGTCTGTTAGGTCCATTTGATGTATGGTGTTGTTTAATTCAGAGGTCTCTCTGTTAATTCTTTGTCCTGTTGACCTATCTAATGGAGACAATAGGGTACTGAAGTCCCCTACTATCAATGAAATGGGATTAATCTGGGACTTAAAGTCCTGTAGTACTGTTTTTATGAAGTTGGGTGCACCAGAGTTTGGTGAATATATGTTCATGATTGTAATATCTTCTTGATTCATTGTTCTTTTGATGAGAATGAAGTGGTCTGCTTTATCTCTTCTGATTAGTTTTAGTTTGAAGTCTACTTTGTCAGATATTAGAATTGCAATGCCTGATTTTTTTCTTAGTACCATTTGCTTGGAATATTTTTTTCCATCCTTTCACCTTAAGGTAGTGCCTGTCCCTGAAAGTGAGATGGGTTTCTTGCAGACAACAAAAAGATGAGTTTTATTTCTTAATCTATTCAACTAGTCTGTGTCTTTTGACTGGGGAGTTCAGTCCATTGATATTTAAAGTTATTAACAAAAGATGTGTATTGATTCCTGTCATTTTGGTTGTTGTTCACATTCTTGGTGTAGCTGTACATTTCCAGTTCTACCTTCATTAAATTTCTTATTGTTACCACTTGGGTATAGTCATTCCTTTCTTCAGCTCTTTGTATTGCTTCCAGAACTCTCTGAAGGGCTGCTTTTGTGGGCATGAATTCTTTCAGCCTATTTATGTCATGGAAGATTTTTCTTTCCCCTTCAACTATAACAGACATTTTCATTGGGTAAAGTAATCTGGGTTGGCATCTGTGGTCATTTAGAACTGGAAATACTTTGGTCCAGGCTCTTCTGGCTTTCATAGTTTGCACTGAAGTCAGCTGTAATTCTGATGGCTTTCCTTTATATGTGACTTGTTTTACTTTTTCAGCCTTCAGTATTCTCTCTTTGTTCTGTACTTTTAGTGTTTTTACTATGATGTGTCATGGAGAGTTTCTTTTCTGGTCCTGTCTATTTGGTGCTGTATGTGCTTCTTGCATTTCTATGGGCATATCTTTCCTCAATTTGGGGGATTTTTCTTCTATAATCCTGTTGAAGATCTGGTCCATACCATTATCCCGAGATTCGTCTCCTTCCCTTATGCCTATGATGCATAAGTTTTTTATGGTGTCACACAATTCCTGCATATTCCATTCTTGTGTTTTCTTAAATTTTTCATAACCTTTGCTTGAGTGGTCTAATTCTTCCACTTTGTCTTCTAGTCTTGATACTCTGTTTTCCATTTCATTCATTCTATTGGTGAGGCTTTCTCCTGTCATTTCTAATTGGTATACTGAGTGTTTCACTTCCTTCATTTCAGCCTGAGTATTCTTCACTATTTCTGTTTTTCTGAATTCATTCAGACATTTGTCCCTATCTTCTTTCAGTTCTTTGATTTCTTTCTTTGTGTGTTCTTTAAATTCACTGAATTCTTTTATCCTGTTTATAACTATTATTTTGGATTCCATGTTCTTAGTTATCTCTAGGGAGTTCTCATTGTACTCCTCTACAGGACTGTTGGTACTTGGTGGGATATATTATTTGGGTTTTCCATGTTATTATTTTTTTTGCTGTGACTTTAACATGTGGATTTCTTTTGTAGTTTCTGATTCTTGTGTGAGACTCAAGCCTTTCTTTGTTGAGTTTAGGTCTACCTCTTTATTTGTAAACTTTATGTGCTTTTGTGGTTTACTTGTTGGGCATGAAGAGATGGTTGGTCTAGGCTTCAGGTTCTCTCTTTTGATTTTATACTGGAGGGGCCAGATGGCTTTCATCCTGCGGCTCAGGAGTTCCCACAGAGGCCCAAGTCGGATGAGCATCAGATGCTCTCAGGCTTTCTCCTAAGGTCTGGATCCCTCTAGGAAAGATGCTGGCCTCAGGAAATTGGGGGCTGGGCTAGTCTGGGACCAAGGCCTGTCTGGCATGCAAAGGCAAGGTGGGGAGGGAATAGGCCCAAGGGCTCCCAGGGACTAGACCTAGGAACTGAGTTGGTCTTGGTGCAAAGGGTCAGAAGCAGTGGGGAGCCTGGGCCAAGAGGGCAATCCAGAGGTCTGGGGTGCTAAGAGAAGAAATGGGCCTATGCCCACGCTAGGAGGAGAGACAGGTTGGGGGAGCTGGGTGGGTGAATGAGGCTGGGGGAGTCAAGGCACAGTGGGCAAGTGGCCGAACTTACCCAGGAAGGAAGCTGGCCCCAGGAAGCTGGTGACTATACCACCCAGAAATGCAAAGGTGATGTGAGGGAGGGAACAGACCCGAAGGGCTCCCTGGAACTAGACCTAGGAACTGATTTGGTCAGGGTACAAAGGGTTAGGAAGCACTGGGGAGTCTGGGTCAAGAGGGCAGTCCAGAGGTCTGGGGTGCCAAGAGAATAAATGAGCCAGTGTCCATGCTAGGAGGAGAGATGGAGTTGGGGAGCTGGGCGATGAACAAGGCTGGGGGAGTCAAGGCGCAGTGAGCACATGGCCAAACTTACCCAGGAAAGAAGCTGGCCCCAGGAACAAGAGTCTTTTTATATATGCCAATAGCACAGCCAACAAAAGCAAAAATTTTAAAAATGGGATTGCATTAAACTGAAAATTGACTTTACAGAAAACTAAGAAACCATTAAAATGAACAATTAACTCACAGAATGGGAAAAATAATAGCAAAGTATTTATCCACAAGAAATTCATTTCCAGAAAATATAAAAACCTCAACAGCAGAAAAGCAAGTGCTCTGATGAAATCTGGTAAATAGTCTAAATAGACATGTCTCAAACACGCAATAAAACAGCCCATAAAGATATGAACAAACACACACCATCCCTAGTCATCAGAGAAATGCCCATCAAAACTGCAAAGTGGTGTCATTGTACTGCAGTGAGAATGGTTATTATCTAAGATACAAAACAGTGAAGGCTGAACAGTCTCATAAACTGGTGGGGGAATATAAACCAGTCCACCTAATATAATATGACGCTCCTCAGAAAGCTACATGCAGCAGCACTACATGATGGCATTATCCTACTGTTGGCTATATGTATTCAAAAGAAACGAAATCAGTCTTATGCTGAGAAAGCAGCACTTCTGTTTACTGTTGCATTTCTTCAAAAGTCAAGATACATAATCATTGAAGGTGTTCATCAACAGAGGAATAGGCAAAGGAAAGGTGGCATATAGAAACAACTGAATACCCATGAGGATACTGTCACTAGTGACATGGACAGAGTGTAGTATAGCTATTTATTCTGGGTTTGAAATGCCCATAAACATCTTAAAAGCAGAGCAGCTATGGTGACCTGCAGGACACCTTGGCCTTCAATCAAAGCAATGAAATAAAGAGAAATATATAGCAGATGCCTAGGTGTGATGGCGATGTGCCTGTTACATTCTCTCACAAGACTACCATGAACCCCTGAACTGAGATTTTTTTTTAATATTTTCATTAATTCTTTGAGAATTTCATATATGTACACAATATATTTTAATCATATTCATCCCCAGTCCTACCCTTAACTCCTCTAATGCCATGTCCTTTTTTTATTGCTGATAATCATCCACCAAGTCCAATTTGTGCTGCCCATATACTCTTGGGTGTGGGGCCATCCACTGGAGCAAAGTCAACCTCCCGGGGGCCACACTTGCCCCAGCAGCCACCACCTGTCAGTAGCTCTTCATGTGCCCCTTCCCCATCCACGCTGTAATTCTGACTGGCTTGATCTTGTGCAGGTCTTGTACAGACAACCACAGCTACTGTGAGTTCACAAGTGAAGCAGTCAACTGAGATTTCAACAAAGATTCTCTCTGCCCAACTGAATGTGGCATAAACATACAAAAACTAACTAGAGTTGGGATTTGGGATTGCTATAGGGATCTCAAAGTCACCTTTGCTTTCTAAGTAACCCTAATAGACTCAATTATTCATCAAATGGGATGGCTGGAATCTTTTCTTTGGGCTAGTGACTCGCTGCACATCTTGGGTGAATAGATCTTTCATTTCCCAAGGAGGATGCTGAGACACAAATAAAATGTCAGAAACAAAAAGAAAAATCCTGAATGTTCTCATTATATCTACAAGCTAAACTTAACCTCAAATAAAAAAATAAAACAGTAGTTACTAGAAAATATATTTAAACAACAAAGGGAAATAGGCTGGAATGAAGAAGCATCTTTGGATTCTGTCTGATCCACCAGTCCAGCCGTATTCAAAACGGGCATTGGATAAAATCTGGCAAAAACAGCTCAACGTGACCAGTAGCTGATACACTTTCCTCTTGCTTACTCCTTTACCCAGGACCCACTGACTGACCTGGAAGGTTCCAGATTGAAGTGTCTGCTACCCTCCATGGTCCAAATTCGTGCTCCAACATGAGTATCAACTCAGGTTTGGTCATGCAGTAGCCTGTAAATGAGAAATAATGTATAGTTTCTGAGACAGCACAAAGTCAGGTTCACTGGTGGCACACGACCTCTCCATTTGAGGAAATGTGCTATATAGTGGGTGAATTGGAGACTTTTGTTAGTCTTTACTCACTGGAATAGTACTCTTAGATAACCCTCCAAAATGATATTATGAATTTGTAAGTAAATAGAAGAGTACATCAGAGAAAACACAATAAAATTGGGGAGACAATGCATGATATTTAGAATAACTTGAAGAAAGAGAAACCACAAAAAAGAAATAGCCAAAAAGCTGATAGGGGAAGAATGCAGGGGCTGGGAATATGGCTCAGTGGATAAAAGCTATTCCTGTGCAAGCAGAAGACCTAAGTTTGGATCCCCAGTAACCATGGAAAAAGCTGGGTGTGCCCATGAGCACACTAGTGCTGTGGGGGGCAGAGACAGGACATTTGCTTGAGCTTGCTGGCTAGCCAGCTTAGAAAAAAACCCCAAACACTTCCCCTCCCCTGCAAAAAACAGTGAGCCCAAGTTCAGTGAGAGACCCTGTCTCAAGGGCTTAAGGCAGAGATTGATAGAGCAGGGCACCTGGTGTCCTCCTCTGACCTTTGCACGAGTGCAAACACCACACACATAGACACAGACACATGCACACACATGCCATACACACACACACACACACACACACACACACACACACACAGAAATTAATGAAATGAGGGAAAACTAAAACAGGCCTCACAAATAAATTGATCATGCAGAGAAAACATTGAGAAAAAACAGTGGTTGTTTCAACTATTTAGATAAGAGATTAATTTTCAGAAAATGGAAGGCCCTCAAAGACCCCAACAACCTAAATAAATAAATAAATAAATAAATAAACAAAGTGATCTCAGGACACATAGTCTCTCAGTATGTGAAGAAAGTTTTAACCTCCACATTCATTGAGGGAATGCTAGTCAAACCACATTTGGGGTATTGTTGCTCTGTGCTTAGAAAGGTTAGCTAAGATACCAATACTGAAAGGTCTCATACATTGATGTTGGGAATTCAGTACTGAAGCAACAATGAAGCCAGCATGATGCTTTCTCATTAAACTAAATATGGAATGACACAATACCACTACACCATTGTAATACACACACACACACACACACACACACACATACACCCCAAGGAAGTGAATCAGAAGTCTGTACTTCTATATCTATTGCATTATCATAGAGCAATCAACACAGTAAACAACAGAATAACATCAACAGAGTAATAGGTAAAGGCAATGTGACATAAACAACTGGATATTGTTTATTAAATTATCAAAATAAGTGAAAGTTCTGTTCACTTACAGTATGACATGGACAGGAGTAGAAGGTAGCATGTGAAGTTGTGATATGGTTACTTCTTCTGGGGTGGAAATGAGCATCACCATATTAAAGCAGAGCATCTCTGTGACTGGCAGAAGACCTTGGCCCACAGTCATATAACAAAATAAAGAGAAGTAGACAGTGGACTGTGAGGTAACAGGATTGGAGCTGTTCACATTCCCTCACAAGACTGTCATCAACCCCTTCCCTGAGATTACAGGACTCTGCCTGTGGTATAAAGATGTAAAAAACTGGACTTTTCAAGGTACAGCTAAGTAAGATTTACTCGGGCTCTTTGAGTGTGTGTTGTTTGTATGTGTGCATGCATGTGAGCATGATCATGTGTTTGGTGCACATGTATACATATGTGTGAGTAGGTCAGAACCTTCAATGTTCTTCCTTGGCACTTTCCATTTTTTGTTTGAGACAGATTGTCTTCCTGGTCTGGACCAGTAGGCTAGGCAAGATGGTCAGTGAGCCCCAGGGAATCTCCCCATCACTGGGACAGATGCAAGCTACCTGCTGTATAGCAGCTTCCCAGAACTGAAGCACTTCCTCCAGGAGGGAGACTGCTGAGATTCAGAAGGTAAACAAAGGGTCACATGTCTAGGAAAGTGGAACTATAGAAGATGCTCAAGGGCCCATCCTCAGCTTTATAGGGGGAGTAAATGGCTGCTGGGGAAGGAGACATCAGTCCATCTACAGAGAACAGATTTTTTTGGACAGTTGAGCTGCCTGGAATTTGTGCAGGGAGCTCCAGGGATGCAGCTTTCAGAGTCATTACTTGTGTTGAGGCAGGCTGTTTGGTGATACAGATGCTTTTTGAGTTAGACCCTCTCCTGCAAGTAACCCCTCAGCCATGTTGGTAACCCAAATAAAAGCCCATTGGCCCACCGAGTCAGACTTCATTTCTTTGGTCTGTCATGGGTTCCCTTTCAGGGGTGAGGAGATGCGTCTGAGTGTGTGTGTATGTCTCTCTCTCTCTCTCTCTCTCTCTCTCTCTCTCTCTCTGTGTGGTTTTGTGTGTGTGTGTCCAGGAAAAGTCTGTCACAAACACTTGGCACTAGAACAGAGACAAGACAGAATCAAAGACAAGTTGGGGAGGAGGGAGTGCATGGCACTGACTTTGGGGAGCAAGGCATGCAACGGAGGCTGAGCAGTCAGAGGATGGAGCGTCCACAGAGGGAATTCCAGTATAGCCGACCTTTCCAAGCTGTGGTGGTCTGCCTTTTCTGCTAGGCAACAGTTGCATGGTTCTTGCTGTAGACAGTGAGATGTGCAATTAAAGCTGAGTTACAGAAATATTAGTGTCCCTGGTGGTAATGCTCGGGTGGCAGTCCTTGTCTGTGTGGTCACTGTGGTACTGAGTGGCTTGTCTGTTTGATGAGTGGGGTTTGTCACTTGACTATGGAGATGCTCTGATAATGGTTGAAGGTTCAGAGCAACTTTTGCAGTCTTTAAGAGTTTCAGCAAATGGCTTCTGAGATTACCCAGCCATTGCTGTGTAGTAAGAAATACATCCGAGGCCAAGATGGCAGCCCACCAGGAACCTGTCTGTGTAAAGGAATTACAACAAGAAAAGCAGATGTAGCTAGCGGCCTCCATTTCAGCCTCTGATTTGGCAGGTAAATCTGATGAAAGGTAGGAAAAGACCCTGGAGGTGCTGGCTGCCATTTGATACAGTTGGGGAGGTGAAGGAAAGAGGACAAGTTGATCTGTGCTGAAAAGCCCTTTCTGGGATCCAGGACCTTGGGAGAATCAAAGAGAGAGGAAACCATGGTACAAATGTTAGAAGATACCCCTTGGGTCTGACCTTTAATGATGAAGAATGGAAAACCTAAGAGCCAAAGTACAAATAGGGCCTTGACAATGGTCTTGTACAAGAAACTAAGGTAATTAGGGAATACTCTGGGAAAGGGCTTTTTGATACAGGGTCTCCCTGTAGCCCCAGCTGTCCTGGAACTATGTAGACCAGGATGGCCTTGAACTCACAGAGATCCGCCTGCCTCTGCCTCCCGAGTGCTGGGATTAAAGGCATGCGCCACCACGCCTACCTAGGAAAGACTTTTTAAAAAATATTTTAAAAATATTTTTTGTTTATTTTTAGTGTATGAGTGTTTTGCCTGTATGTAAGTTTACCATGTGTGTGCCTGGTGCCTGGAGAAGCCAGAAGACAGCATAAAATTCCCTGGAACTAGAGTTACAAATGGTTGTTAGCTCCCACATGGGTGCTGGGAACTGAACTCTGGTCCTTTGGAAGTCCATCCAGTGCTCTTAACCACTAATCAATCTCTCTAGCACCCTAGGACAGACTTTTAAAGAGGCAATGAAAGAGCTTGTCAAAGCCTGGCTTGTGAGGCTGTAGGACATGGGAGCAGATAGGATCAATCTGACTGCAGCAGAGATAGAAAAAATGAACAATATAATTACCTATTCCTCATTAAGACAAAAGCTGCACAATCTGAGATAATATGAGGGAAATCCGTCCCTGACTGACTGGCTCATACACGCCATTAGGGACACTTGGTTATCACTGTCTGAAGTTCCCATGAATATCAGGGAATGGAAGACAACAGAGGAAGTTCAGGCATTACTGGGGGAATTGAGAATAGGAGAAGCTGTGGTCGGTCCCCAGGTAAGGAGGCCAAACAGAACTATGCTCATGAGACCATTTAAAAAGTTGATTCAAGGCTGGGCGTGGTGGTGCACACCTTTAATCCCAGCACTCGGGAGGCAGAGGCAGGCGAATCTCTGTGAGTTCAAGGCCAGCCTGGTCTACATAGTGAGTTCCAGGACAGCTGGGGCTACAGGGAGACCCTGTCTCAAAAAGACAAAAAAAAAAAAAAGTTGATTCAGCAGGAAATTCCAGACTGGCATGGGGTTCTAATGACCTAGTTGGGTCCTATGGTGGGACTTGATCTTTTTGGCAGAGTGGAATCATTTAGACCAGTATATGAATGGAGTTTGTAAAGTGCTAAAGTTCTGGGGGGGTGGGGGGGGAGACAGACAATGCATCCTGAATTCTGAGTTATTTGAAGGCAACTGTGGCAAGATCTGTAGTGACCTGGAGATCTTAGGGAAAACTTATGAAAAGCCAACTTTTGCGTTTTTTAGAAGACTTTAAAGCTTGACCAGTTCACCAAAGTGTTAAAAAGAGTACAGGAAGGAGATGCCTTGGGGTGGGTGCCACCCTACTCTGATGGGGTGGACAATGTTGTGAACAAGTTGGGGCCATACATGGGACCAGAGGCCTCATGTTAAATTGTGGATTTGTTGGTCCTCTAAATATGCAAAATATTTTAGTTTTTGATGGATACTGTCGTTGAGTGTACTAGCTGAGTGTAGTTGAGTATTCATGGCAACCCCACCCCTACCCCAAAGCTCAGAGGCAATGGCCAGCAGTGAATGTATCAATATGAGGATTGAAAAAAAAAAGAAGGTGTAGGTAAAAAAGACCAAGCTTGTCATAGGGGTAAGAAATAATCCTCCCAGAGTAAACTGCACAAATTTGTCTCCTGCAAAATTATTCTGGGGGTGGAAATTGTTCACAGAGCCTGAGGCTCTCACAGACACCAGGCATGGCTGTGAGGGACAATGGGAGTGGCCATAGTTGTGATTCAGGCCAAGAGTCTACTAGACCCTGGGAGGGGTACAGCCAAGCCAGGCAAGCAGGCTCAGCCAGGCAGAGGGGTGCAGCTAGACAGGCCCAGAGCAACTGGTCAGACAGGTGCAGTCATTCCTGTTACTTCTGGCTGTGGGTTAAACCTGCTAAGCCAGCCCACCAAGACAAGAGGGAATGCATGGAGGCCACAAGCTGGTGGCTCCAGGATGAGGATGTCAAACAAAAGATACAAATGATGACATTTTTGTACTGTATTAAATCTTGCTAATGCATTTTTTTTTTTAGTATTCCTTTTGGTGCTGGATCCCAAGACAAATTTGCATTCTCTTGAACTGTCAAGATTGGACCTTCAGATTATGCTTCCAAGGTTACCTCAGTCCCACTATTTGTCACAGCATGGTGACTCAGAACTTTGTTATGTGTAAACAGGTTTCATTATATAGCTGACATAATGCTAACTTCTGAGTGTTTTACAGAATTAGAAAAGTATCTAAAAGACATGCAGGTGCTACTAAAGGAGGGAGATGGGAGATCAGCCCATACAAGGCACAAAGGCCAGGCACAGCTGTAAAATTCCTGGAGTATTATGGTCCAGCAAGAGATGTATGATGCCTGACAAAGTTGTTAAGCAAAATCTTACAACAACATGTGCCTGCTACTGTGAAAGAGCTTCAGGTACTCTTGGGGCTCCTGGGGTACTGGAAGACTTTCATACCCCACCTTGCCCCAAGATTCCTGTCCTCTGTGTTAGCTGAAAAAGAAAGGTGCCATTTAGGATTGGGTTAGAAAGGCCCAAGAAGCTTGCTCAAGTAAGCAAGCTAAGATCTTTGTAGTGGGATAAACACTGTGTGCCGCATTACCCCAGTGCCCCTTCCTGCTCAAAGTCACCAGAAACTCAGGTTATTATAGCCAGGGACAAAAACGACCCGAGTAAATAGTTCCAACAGGGTTTTGGTCTCAGTCATAGAAAGAAGCAGAGGCTTGGGACACAGTGCTAGAACAATCACTGGCTGTATTTAAAGCATTACAGCAGGTAAAATCCATTCATCTCTGGCCCGACCTCCATAACCTTAGAAACAGGTTACCTAAGGAAGGGCTGAACTGAAGGCCTTCTGACCAAGCCCCTTTCTGGGGTGGCACAGAATCAAACTCTACAAAGGTGCCATGTATATTTACAGCAACATGGTATAGTGTCTTCAAGCCCCATCACCACTGCCATGCAGGCTGTCCTGGGACCAGTGTCCTTTAAAACCATTGAGCCCCTTCCAATAACTGAACCAATAGCTAACAAGGTAGAAGGGCCAGCCATCCATGTCCACCAATCCCTGGTACACAGATGGTACAAGAAGACGCACCACACAGGAATGGGAAGCTATAACAACACAAATGCACAGGTACCACATGGCTGGAGACATGAGAAGGAAGAAGTGGAGACATGAGAAGGAAGAAGTAGCCAGTGAGCGGAGTTAAGAGCAGTATGGACAGTAGAAACTCATGAGACTTGGTCTGTGATAATCTATACTGACAGTTGGGCTGTAATTCAGAGAATTCGCTTTATGGATGGCCCAGTGGGAAAGGACTGGCAGGTGATGGGTTGGCAGACATACAACAGACTCTGGAGAAAAACACATAACAGAGCTCTACAGGAATCAGAACCACTGACAAATTTCCATGTGGCTGCTCACAGTCCATCAAGTCTTCTCAGAAATCAGGGAGCAGATGCCCTTACTAAAGCATGGGCTATCTGCCTTCAGATGCCATTAGAGGCTGCTCATTGGGTTCAAGTGGAGCCTGGTCACAGGGGAGCTGTGATTTGAAAGAGAAATGTTCTCACAGGCTCATGCATTTGAATACTTTGTCCCCAGCTGGTGCACTGTTTGGTGAAGTTTAGGAGGAAATATGTCCCTGGGGGTAGGCTTTGAGAGTTCACAGCCTGGTCCCACTTCCAATTTCTCCCTCTCTGTTTCCTGAGTGGGAGATGTAACCCCTCAGCTTCCTGCTCTGGCCTCCTCATGCCGCCATGTCTCTCCTTCCATTATGGACCCTCCCTTTGGAACTGTAAGCCCAATAAATTCTTCCTTCTATATGTTGCCTTGTCATTGTTTTTTATCACAGCAACAGAAAACCAAACTACAACAGGAACCTATACAGGATGGAAAATAACTGAAGACTCTACATTCCTGTAAATGATTCTGACAGCCTATTACAGTGTGGAAAGGTCCAGGTGGGAGGAAAAGAGGGAGGGTTACACTGGGGTAGATTTGCAAGGAGTGAGTAACTCAGTGTTCTACAGTCCAGAAGTAATATGGTTGCAACAATTAACTATTTCAAAATAGCTATCACAGGGATTTGAAAGTTTCTCAGTATGAACAAGTAATATATGCCTGAGCTGACAGATTTACCATCATGATCATTACATAGTATGTAAGTGTATTGCAATGCCACACTGCTCTCCACAAATGTGCGCCACTACCATGCATCAACTAAAATTTATAATAGAAAATGAAGGTTAAAATTAGAAGTAGTTCCTACACTTACCAATCAAGAAGAAAGCAAATGCTACTGAGAGTCAGAGGGAGGCAGACTCACCCAGGAACACCAGGCTGCTGTAGTTCTCCAGCATCACATCCCTGTAGAGTGTCTTCTGAGCAGCATCCAGGTCCTGCCACTCATCCCAGGTGAAGTACACAGCTACATCGTCAAATGACACCAACTCCTGTAACGACACATTTATTTTCAAGTCAAGTCCTCAGCCTTGGGAACAGAAATTGGGTTTAGTCTTCCACATGTATGCATGTCTAACCAGTGCCTTACAGACGGTGCAATTTGATTTATATTGTTTATTATGGGAGAGAGCAAAATAAACACAAATATTACACCTCTAACATGATTGAAGAGTTTCTCAGGGAATTAGAATAGAAACAAATCCGTGGAATACATATGTATGTAAGATTTGTGCTAAGAGCAAGAGAAAGGTATATATAATTCAACCATATAAAAGTAATGTTAAATCTCTAAAGAATAAACAACCCAATGAAAAGGCAGATGCTGGGGCTGGTGGTAAAGCACAGTGGTAGAGCTTGTCCAGAGGGGGCAAGGGAAGGGTTCAATTCCAGCAACTACAGAATACATCCCAGTCTTAAACTGAGGGTTTCATGGGGTCTCATAACTGAATGTGAGAATCAGGAAATATTGGGCAATAGTAACACCCAATGACCACACATTAATTCAAACTCAAATATGCAGCACATCCAGGTGTTTCTGGTGCGCTCACTTGTGCTGTGTCAGGGAACATCACTGCAGCCTTTGTTCTGCTCACACAAAATACACACTTTCTACTGCTCACACCGTTGAACCATACCACTCCTCTAAGCATTGCCAGAAACACCTTGGCTTTGCTTTGAGACTAACTGTTATGTTACAAATTATAGTGTTTTTCACTCTATGTAATTTTCTGTACTAATAGGAACATGTGGATGCCACAATGTGGTGGTGCCTGACTCAAGAAAGACTAAACTCCTGGAGTCATTTAACCTGAGTGAGCTGGATCTGTTCTCAGAACTGTTCCTTTCTGATTTCTATTGGAACTGTTCCTCCAAACAAAGCACTTTCTCATATTTAACCAAACAGTACATCCAGCATGATATGGAAAAGAAATGAGGAACTTTGTCCTACATATTAAAGTTTCTTCCACTCTGTTACAGCAAAGAATACAGGCCCTCACCTCCTCCTCCCTGACCCTGTTATTCCTGCCTGAGGAGTACCAGCCTCTCCAAGTCTTAAAGAATCTTTAAGTAGTTTGCCTTGTCTGACCCCTACTGACCCAAGACAGCATACAAAACCACAAACTAATGTTATCAACCTTGTTTTGCAACATTTACTGTGGGCAATTCTTTGCTTTCAACCTACCACAGTCTCTGCTTTTAGCAATGGTATTATAGCACACACAGAGACACAGAGACACAGAGACACAAAGACACAAAGACACAGAGGGACACACACACACACACACACACACACACACACACACACACACACACACACACACACACACACACATTATTCTGCACCAGGGGGAGGGAAGGGTCATGGGGGAAAAATAAGGAACATAGTTAAAGGTGTTTAGTTTAACTTGTAAAAGCTGATTTCTGAAGAGCCAAGGCCTAGTAAGAGTGTTTCCACTGTGTTCTGAAAGGCTGCCTACACTGAAATAAGCTGGCTACACTGTAGGAAGGCAGACTAAATGATCTTGTTAAATAACCTCAAAACATAAGGTGACCTTTGGTTACAAGGTTAGGTAAGATAGGATACATTCCCAGAAAAGTCATTCCCACAGAAACATAATGGTTTAATTATGTTATACAAAGACTTTTACTATTTTCTTGCCATCATTTCTTAGCACTTAAATACCAAATTAGTATATGTTTGCGTTGTATTGTTAGACAAACAGCATATCAATCTTATTAGCATGCAAATTTGTTTTTATCCTTAATAAATGGTAATGTGTTTATCAAAGAATTGTTTTAAGGTAAATTATGACTTATTATCAGCCAATGTTTCATTTCCATACCTATTTTATGTGCCCTTATACCTGGATTTACATAAAACTTCACAGAAGAAAATATATTACTAGTGGAAAATATTTCAGAAGCCCCGGAATAGGGGACTCCTGACTTACCTTCTATCTACAGACAATAAGCTTAATAAACATGTCCACAGATCTCAAGTTCTACTGAAAAGCATAAATGAGTTGTCAGATTCTACATACTGTGCAACTGAGAAAACAGCTACCTCTAGTAAGCTGTGAAGGCTCAGGCACACTTAGTCAGGACAGAACTTTGGACAGTTTGCTATAAATGCAGATTCCAAATACCCACCTATACTCTGAGGGTAGAAATGTAGGTATCTTTCATGTGGCATGTTGACATGTCATTCCATGTGCATAAATCTAGAGTCTGCCTAGAACACAGAATAAACTCTGGGTTTTATATGCTAATGCAAATATTTCCACTGCCCTCATCCTCTGAGGTGAGAGAAGTGGTTAACACTGAAAGTTCCCATTTCTTCTTGGAAGGAGTTTACATACACACACACACACACACACACACACACACAGAAAGAGAGAGAGAGGAATTAGTTCAGCCATTTTAGAATGTAATATGCTAGTTCTGCAAGCTGTCCAATAAAACTCAACATGAAATTATCAAATCCAACAATCTCCATTATTGCCATGTATCCAAGGAAAAGAAATCTGAATGTCAAAGAAATAGCTGCCACCCAAGTTCACTGTAGATCAGTCACAATCTAGATACAGAAACCAATGAAGCACTGTCAGACCAGGGTAGGACAAGACAATCCTCCAAGCTACAGATCACACAGCTAGCTAGCTGTTCTGAGAGGCTCTCCACCCTGCTACAGACAGCTCTCTAGGAGAGGACCAAGTGGGCTGACATTAGTAGGTACTCTAAGAGGACAAAGGTATGGCTGCTGTGGGTTGCTGGTAGAGATACCAGGCGGCTCTGACACCTGAGGCTAGAAAGACTAGAGATGGGGATGACAACATGCAGCTCTGTGACATTTGCAAGGGAAAGCTCAATCCAAAGACATTCTGGTAAATATGCCTATGGGAGACAGAAAAAGGAATAAAGACTTACATGGGGTTAAATGAACTTTCTTGGCTTTCCTCATCTGTGATATGTTTATAAATAGAATATGAAAATTCTTCAAAAATTCTTTACTTCAGTAGTCAAAGAAAAGAGACAAAATATCATCTGTTTGAAATACATCAGGAGCGGGGCTGACAAGATGGCTCAGCGGGTAAAGGTGCTTGCCATCAAGCCTGACGACCTACGTTTGATACACAGCATCCACATAGCAGAAGTCAGCTAACTCTCAAAAGCTGTCCTCTGACTTCCACATACCACCAGTGGCATACATGACCCCCCACACACACATAAGATAAATAAATAAAGGTTAAAAATAAATAAAGACATATACCATGTGTACTGTGGAAAAACGATGTTGGTAACATAAGCCAGGGGGGTAGAACTTTAGGGATTTGCTGCTAGTCCTGGGAGAAGCAAAAGCTTCTGGTCAGGGTTGTGGATTCTAGACTATGTTCCCCACACATTTGTAAAGCTCAGGGGAAGATAAGAGACCAGGGGAGAAGTGAGGTGGGAGGGAAAGATGGAAAGAACTGCCTCAGGCTGGAATCTAGCTGGGAGTCACAAACTTCAACTGAGAAAAGCAGAGTTAAGACTTATTTTCCTAAAGATATCTCAAACAACAATGTTTAAAAATCTATGCTTACTTTGAGTAGGACACTTAGAGCATTGGATGTAACCACATTAGCATTCCTTACAATTTCATTCACAAAAGGAACATTTATTTCATTTAATTATTTGTGTGTGTGTGTGTGTGTGTGTGTGTGTATGCACACGTTGTGCTATGGTGCATGTGGAGGTCAAAGGACACCTTGCAGGAGCAGATTCTCTCCTTCCACCATGTGGGTCTCAGGGATGGAACTCGGGTCCCCAGACTTGGTGTCAAGTGCCTTTACCCACTTAGCCATGTCCCCAGTCTCTAAATTATTTAAGGGTGTTTCAAGTGTCCTGTCCCCCGACCACAAATGCCAAATGTGTTTAAAAGATTTTACAAGGCTTATTGAGTAGAACTTCATGATTCTGGAGAGTTGGAATGTTGCAAATGCAGGGCCAGAATGATCTTGGGTTATCATTAGTTCCCTTAAAAGCCATTCAGCAGTCTCCTTCTGTATATGGCTTAACATCAACTATCAGGTAAAATTTGGGGCTGAACAACTAGTTTCCAGCAATCCAGGAGCTAAGATTGTCATCAGACAACCCTGAGACCTATGGCAGGGTTGTCCCTGCTGTGCTGTAACTTGTCTAAGCTGCTTTTCTTTTGTTCGGCAACTATAAAAGCTCATGAAATCACATCCAGGTTGGAACATATCATTTAGGGCATCCTAAATGCATGTTCTCAAGTAGTGTGACTCATTTTGTCTCAGAATAGTCTTTTAACTCCTTTTGAGGTCAGATCAGTGTTTTCTGTGGATAAGAGAAATAAGTAAATGAATTCATATTTTTTAACCTTAATTTTTTAAGTTTACTTAACCCTTAAACTTTGCCTGATCCTTAAACCTTGATGCAAATGACATCCTTTTGGGAACACTGAGAAATCCATAAAGTCATACAGATAGGCACTGTGAAGACTACACCTTTGGGTGTCTTACTGTCTCTAAATGTACGGGGTTAATTTAAATCTATCACTACTTAACAAATTAACTGTACTTCTTTCTGACTTCTCCTGAAATTCTTTTGTACAGGTGTGTAAGGCTTTACCAGGGCGGTTAAGGGGCACTCCTCCAGCTGCTGGCAGCAGCGCTTGGCTGAGACTCTCCGAGCCCAAGACACATGGCATGCAGACCCCCGGACCCCGGCTACCCCCAGGACCCACACCGAGTCGGGATCCTCCCAGATCTTCCTCCCTGTCATCCCCCGGCCATCGGCGGGGCCGGGACTACAGGACAGAGCTGCTGCAGAAAGGACGGCGGCCAAGTCTGATACAGCGGCTAGACAGGACGCCCAGTGCCCGAGCTGGCCCAGCTCCACCCACAGCCGGCGGTGGGGCGAGAGCTCAGCGGCCCCATGCGGGGGCTCAGGCCTTGGGGCTCTGCAGGGATGATGGGGAGCGCGGCAGCCACCTCCGGTGCACAGCTTCCCTCCCCTGCTCAGGCCGCACCCTCACCATTTCCGGGTTTCCCGGCATCCTGCGTCCTCCTGGGAATCTTTCCGCTGCAGCACAGCACAGGGTGACGGAGGCCGCAGCAGTCTCCAGGACCTCCCGAGCAGGAACCCACAAGGTGACAGATCCCAAGATGGCCGGTGACAGACAAAGGCACCAGCGACGCTGGTGAAAGCCCGCCCCCTACATTCTGTCTCTGTGCTCGATTGGGCAATCCTCAGTCTGGTGCATCCGATTGGTCAAGAATTCAAGTCCTACCTACCTAAAGCTATGAGTGACAGGAGATGGCACCAATTCATGGGTGAGTTAAAAAAAAAGAAAATAACAACAAAAAGAAATCCACTGGGACAAGTTCTTGCCTGCAGGTGTTGTAAGGCAGGGTTTCCTGCGGGAAAACACAGCCCCACAGCCCGGTAGAGCTGAAGGTCATATCCATATGAGTTTAATAGAAGTAAATGAATCTCATTCTCAAGTGGAAATCACACTGTGACAAGTTTTAACCTGTGTGTTTTCCCAACTCTACTCTTTTTTGAACTGGCAGGCTGAGCTTTAAAAATAGGAAGCAGTCCTCTAAGATAGTCATGCCAGACACAAATAAAATGTGAGGCGAACCTGTACAATTTTTAAGTTAAAATTTTAGGTTAGTGTGTAATGTGTTCATTGTGATGTCTTCACACACATGCTTTGTTCTCAATCATTCCCTTGCCCCGCTGCCCCACTGCCCAAACCTTGTCCCTCCCTGGCTGTTCTCTGCTTCTCCCGTCTTCTCATGCTAGCTTTCATGTCATATGCATCCAAGAAGTATACCTTTAAATTTCTTAATATAAAGAAACAGGTGAAACTGATTGCAGCAACAACCATATCAAAGACCAATGACATTTTTTCATTTCTCATTATAGGAGAAATTTGAAAACATGTATAATGGACCCCACACACATGAAAATTCTGTTCCTTTTGGTTTGTGGGCTGTTTATGATTTCTAACACCAACAAAATCAAATTACTGTGCTTGAAAAATCTTACCACAGAAGTGATACTGATACAGATGCACTGTACCTGAGAATGCACTTTGTCTTACAGTAACATAGCCAAACAAGGAAGCATATCTTGAATTTTATTTTAAGCCAGGCAAAGCAGTTTTCTGGCACCTGAAACTGAGATGCGATAGTGGGCAAAGCTACATTGCACACACACGTGTCAAGTACAGCTAATGATGACTTGAAGTTTAGTCCCCAAAGCTGGGGTGCCTTCCAGTCCTCACCATGACACAGTTTTCCTCAATTACCCACCTGTCCCATGAACTACCTAGGCTAGTGCAACAGTGAGGACATTAATCTGTAGCCCTTCCAAAAGGCAATCTGTCAGCATCTGGCAGATTGTGAACAAGGACTTATTAAGTTACCCACCTGGCCTCTAATCTATGTCTCTTCTGCCTCAGTCTCCCAAGTGGCTAGGATTGCAATTACAAGACACTACTCAGCTAGATAATAAACCTGGTGGTATTAAGGAACTTGTGCTAGCATAATACAGTGAATAGTTGGAAACGCTTTCCTGAATTGTATTAAGGAAAGCTGGATTAGATAACAATTCATGTTTACAAATTATCCCTTATGATCCCATGTTATAATTCACCAGTAGTGTGTGTCTAGATTAGATACAATAAGGAAAAAGCGAAGAAAGGTGATAGTCAGGTTTTATAGTCATCACATGCAGAGCAGGACTTCAAGGACACATGCTTCCTGAGGTTTTCCTGATACTTTGCCTTGCCATTCAAGGCATTCAGTGGTCATGTGATGTATAACAACATTTTGGTCTGTAACAATCCGCATATACAACAGTGGAAGGTTATTGTGAACCTGAAAATTTCCTAGTTTTCAGTAATGTCACATGCATTCTAATTCATAGTATAAATTATTTGTTGAAAACAAAGCCATTTTCATAAAAACATAACACATGTTATTGAGTATGGTACATAATATTTGATAGATACTGATAAATGTCTAAACTACGTCTGGTGGCATGTGCCTATAATCCCAGGATTCAAAAGGGTGGGGCAGGAAGGCCATGAGTTTGAGACCAGCCTGGCCTGCATAATGAGACCCTGGCTCAATGCAAGTAAATGGCTATGTTGTCTACTGACCTTATGTAGTTTTAATTTTGTCTTACTGTACAATATTTATAGCTATTAAATAATGTTAGCTGCAAAGCAGCCACAGGCAGGCCTTTAAGAGACTTTTAAGAATTCATTGTTATCATTGGGTATGACATCTCCAGGGATGTTATTTTCCCTGATGATACTTCAGTAACATAAGAACTGAAAATCGAAACTATGTTCTTGATCCTGGTCCTACACAGAACTAGGCTAAAATATGCTTCTTTGGCCCAGTCTCTATCAAAAGGTAAGTGACCACTTCATCAGCACATACATGAAAATTGGAGTGGTGTAGATTAGTGTGGGCCATGTGTAAGAATGGCATGCCATTTTGTGAAGTTTTCATATTATGTTTTCCATTTAAAATAGCAAAAACTGATAGTAAAAGAATATAATTAATACTGTATAAAGCAATATTACATGTTTGCTTTGCTTTTTCCTTTTTTCAAGTCAGATGTTTAATTTCATGGCACTATGACTTTTACCAAGTCATCCCATACATGGCATGAAAACCAGTAATATTCTTTATAAGCCACAAAGAATCTTAGCTTACGTTTTTTTATTTAATAACCACATGACTAGAAGAAGCATTTCACTACAGCTTTAACATATTCAGTAAAAATTTCCCGAGCAAGGATATATCTCTTTCAAAAGTGGCTATAAAATTTTAGGTTCACAGCTGAATTAATATGGTTATACAATATTGAACTCAATATAAACTCTGTAAGACATAAAATTGAATGAGTTACATGTAATGAAGCTCTCCATTTCACTTTAAAATATGCTGTTTCCTTCATTTTTAATGCTACTAATGCTTAGATGTTTGCACAAGTGTCTTTAATCTCTACATATCTGATAATTACTAGCCACAGCTGGTTACACTTGGATCCTTGGCACCTGAGTATGGATATGAAGTCATCAAGTAGATTTCAGTGGTAATGTTTATCACCTCTACTAATTAACATGAAGTAAAATTTTTATGCTTCCTCCTCAAATATGTCTTTTTTTAAATTTGGTGAGTTTTGTGTGTGTATATCAAACAGAACATCCCACATAGTTTTATTCATCTATATACCCCCCTCCCCGACATTATCTTTTATGCTCAGGATTATTTTGGCTATCCAAGGTCTTCTGTGATCCATTTTTTTCCTATTTCTGTGAAGAATGTCATGGGGATTCTGATTGTATTACATGAATCTTAGTTAGAGGAATATCTACTTTCCCATTAGTGTATTTTGTAGAGGACAGAACAAAGGAAATTAGTTAATCCAAAGTTAGTCTTGTCCCTCTGGCCCAATAGGAGGCCTTGTCTCTGAGCCTTCAAGCTCCTCCTTTGTCAGCTTTCTCTGTTGGGGCAGGAAGGCCTTGCCACTGAGTCTTGGATTCTTTCCGCAGTGCCCTTTGTACGACATCGAGGTTTAAAAGTTAACCAACCATTAGCAGTGTCTATGTGCAGGGCTAGCTACTAGCAGTTATGTACATGTTGATTCCTTGTGTGAAACAGAGTATAAATGTGCTTTTCTAGAACACAGAGTACCTTTATCTGTTACTTATCAGTGCAGGAGAGCCAATCTGCCTACCTTAAAGCATTTGAGGCAAGTTCTCTACCACTGAGTTATACCTCAACTCTTTTGTAGAGTTTTCCCATGAGAGTAAAGCAGAGAAGAATCTACTGACTTGATGTTGAATAAAAAAATCCCTTTGCTTCTCCTTTTTCCACTGTAAAAGCAGAAATCTGAGCAGAATGACTCTGGTTGAGATGCGCTCATGGAGTTTCCTCAATCTACCACATAGTCTTCCACTTCCTGGATTTCACAACTCCTTGGACTTGACTCAGCACCTGCACATTCACAACTCTTGGAATATCCAGTGAACGTCAACCCCTCTGGCACTCTGCCCAAAGATGGGGAGAGCACAGGAGAAAGACACTAGTCAGGCAGTTTAGGGACAGAGACCTAGAGATCTGTTTCTAGTTTTTGCCTTTAACAACTAGTTCTGTCTTTGCCAGAAGCTGGGAACATCTTGACTTTTATTGACAGTCCTTGGGACTTATATATGCTTGAAGAGGGAGAGGCCTAGTGAATTTGGTCAATTTCAGGGACTTCCTGAAGCCTATTGAGCCTACATCCTGACCTTAATGAGCTTCCCTGCATGACAGACTGTTTCACTTCCCCTTCAAACATCCTTCTGTTTACCTTCCTTTAGAACATCCTGTCATTTACCTCCTTCAAGATGGAAGATCTTTACCTCAGAAGAAATTGCTACACAATACACACCCCATGACCTGAATACCATCCTTTCACCAGGACCCTGGAATCTTTCACCCTTATACACAACCTTCTGAGACCCCACACCCAACCAAGTATTCACTGAGGGCAGATGCCAAGTTCCAGGCACCTGCTGTCGCCCCATTCCTCAGTTGGTCAAGAAAGTTGGGGGGAAGGGCATAAGGTGTCAGTTTCCCAGGCTACCAAGTGAGCTATGGTATCACAATGCTCTGCCTCAGCTCCTCTGGGTAGATCTACCACAAGGGGCAAGGCATAAGATATAGGTTGCACACTAGATACACTGATTCTGCTCAGTGCCAGGAACTCTGGCACTTGCCAAGACTCCAGGGCAGGATGACCTTGGAGTTATAGACCTACATCTAGGAAGCACCTCTGAATTTACCCTGGGGAGTGGGCACAGGGCAGCTTTGAGAAAACAGAACCAGTGCAGGGTAGAGATCCAGCCACAAACCCAGTCAGGAGGCTGCCTGATCTTTGGTAAGTCCCTCCCTATTGGGACTCTGTGTAGAATCTACTTGCTCTTGCTTATGCTTTTGCTTGTTCTGTGAGCAACTGAAGTCTAACTCTATTCCTTTATGCTGCAGGAGTCTCTCTACCAGCTCACCGCTCCCTGCTCCTGAGCAGAGCCACAGTGGATGCACAGTGTGAACTCTGCTGTCAGATCTCTACAGCTGTCCCTGAACCCAAGGGTTAATGCCTCCATGTCTGTGACCCCATTCAAGTCATTCCTTCCCAAGGAGAAGTTGAGAAATAGAGCTGGTCCACA